GACGCGGCCGTAGATCACGATCTTGTTCGCCCTGCGCGCGCCGATCCGCGCCAGTACCAACAGCACCACCGCCGCGCCTGTCATGCACGTGTGCGAGCCCGTGGTTCTCGCGCCGCACGACAATGTCGGCAAGTCGCTCGTGCAGACCATGATGGCGACCCCTCTGCCCCCACCGGCACTCGTGTTGGTGCGCAACTTGTTGCAGGTTGGCGCGCACCTGGCCGACGTTGTGCGCGGATCCGGTGGGGCGCCCGTGGCCGTCGCGAGCGACGCGCAGTGGCATCGTGCGTTGTTGGGTGGTGAAGCCGGGTACGTTTGTCTTTTTTGGACGTGGGAGATGGATAGAGGAATGGGGGGGGGGGGGTCTGACGCAGGTTCCGAAACGTGTAGGTCGGTGGACCGCGCGCCATCAGTGACCCCCGCGCCGTCGGTTGCGTCAGCGGCGCCGTCGACGACGCATTCCGCGCTGCTTGCGCCTGCCGTCGCGTCGTCCATGCCCGTCGCGTCAACGCCCACACTCGCGCCAGTCGCATCGACGCCTTTGTTCCCTCCCGCGTCTGCCACGGCGCCCACATTCGTTCCCGGTACGACGGCACCCAATATTGCGCCCGCGTCCGCTGCCGTGCCGACTGGCATGGTAACGTACCCAGTTGCGCAGCCGCCACCGGCGTTGTGGGCCGTCCCGGCACCGCCCAACGCGCTCACCTCTGCAATGCCCGACTCGGCGATCGTCGCGGTGGCGCGGGCGGGGACGCCGCGCGACCAACGCGACCGTGAGCGGCGGTCGAAGAGCGACCGCGACCGCGACCATGGGCGGGACCGTGAGCGCGACCGCGATCGTGACCGCGCGCGCGACACGGACAGGAAAACCACGGACAAGGACCGGCGCCGATCCTCACGCCGATCTCGGTCTCGATCTCGGTCCGGCTCCCGCAGCCGTTCCTGCTCGCGAGGTCGGAGCCGCGACTGCGACCGCCGTCGGCGCGCGAGCACCCGGTCCCGCTCGCGCAGCCGCAGTCGGACCCGCACTCGTGATCGTCGTGATCTGCGTGCGGCGCGCAGTCGGTCGCCAAGCACGACGGTGCACAAGCGACTGCGCACGTCGACCGATTCGCGCGATATGGTCCCGTTTATTGGCAAACTGATGAACGGTACCGCAGGGACGTTGATGGAGCACCGATCCTGGCAGCGGCGGCTGGAGACGGCGTTGGCAATGACGGGTGCCGTGGAGCGCGTGAGTGTGGATGCGGATCGAGGGGAGGTCCGGTTTTGGATGGTGCGGATGCCAATGTACGTGGCGGGTTGGTGCTGGTGAGATCAAGGCGGAATGACGCGACTGACGCATGCCATGTAGGCTTGTCAACGACGTGATGCGCGAGTCGGGGCTGCTCATCAACGGCGTCTGGTTCGATGTACGTCGAGTCGAGTCGGTGCTTGTCGCTGCCGTTCCGCTGCCTGACCCGTCTCTCCGTCCCCGGTAGTTCGCGCCCGCCAACCCCGCCGAACTCCCCACGACCCGCCCACCGGCGCGTGACGTGTTGGCGATCCTGAACGTGCCGCGCTCGATCGAGGACTTTACCGCCGTGTTGCGTGAACTGAACCTCAAGTCGGCGCAGCTCGACTACCCGCCCAATTGGACGGCCGTGGGGGTGCCATACGCGTTCTTGACGGTGCCACGGCGGTACGGTGGGTACGTGGAGACGCTCCAGGGGATGTGGTTGGCGGGGAGGAAGTTGAGGGTACAGTGCTTTGCGATTCTGCTTTTTTTTTGGGCGGGGGTTGGAGGAGGGACTGACGGATTGGCTGGTAGTTGTTTCGGCTGGACGAGGCGCACGCGCTGTTTGCCGATCCGCCGCGGGTGGTGGCAGCGGTCAAGGCGCTGGCGATGCAAGTCGCGGCCGAGGAGGGTGCGGCAGAGGGTGGTGGGGCGCAGCGGTAGGTGGCGGAGTGGAAGGGGATGGATGAGGAGCAAGAACGGCCTGCGCGATTGCTTCGCTCTGGATGGTTTGGAGCGGGCGCTGCCAGGCCGATATTATGAAAAATGGCCGCCCTGGGCACGTTCTTCGCGCCGAAGCACCGCCACGCGGGTCGGACGCCATCGTCGGCAGCGTAGGCATCTGGCGCGCCATGCAGGCGAGCGGGGCTGTTCCTGGCGTGCAGAGGTGTGATGCGGGACAGCGGCCGACGCGTCTCTGAGCGCGATGCACGTGCCGGACACGCGGTGGCCGTGGCGGCCCGGGCAAGCACGCGACACGACACGGTCAACTGAACGACAACCACCCTTCCGTCCGATCGTACGCCGCCGCAACCACCGCCGAGTCCACCACGGGCACGGAGCGCCATGGACCCGCCAGCAGCAGCCACCCGGCGCCCACGCACTGGCGCCCTCCACCCTCCAGCCATCTTCCCTTTGCGATGAGCGCGAACCCGCCGTGGCCGGCCATGCAGCAGCAGCAACGCGCCACGCCGGCGGTGCAACAGGCGCCCACGTTCCCATCTCATTGGTCGGCGACTTCGCCCGTCACTGCTCCTGTCACGCCGGCCATACACGCACCCGCTCCAAGCGCGCCCGGACCGGACGCCGTGTACGATGCGCCGTCCAACGAGGTGTGTGGGCATTGCAGATTGGTCGGCCGTCACCAACGGCAGGGTCAAGCTGAGTCGCCAAGTCTTTACTACATAAATCACGATCCTATTTGCTCTTCGCGTACCGAAGCATCTCGCGCGCGGCTCCCACGCGTGCGTGCACGTTTGCGAACCCGTTGTCCTGGCGGCGCGCAACGGCACGGCCGGCACGTCGCTCGCGCACGCGGCGCCAACCCTGCCACCGCGCGCGCAGGACCTGGTGTACCAGTTATTGGGCGCCGACGCGCACCTCGCCAACGTCGTGCGCGGGTCCGGCGCGGTACCGGTCGCGGTTGGGAGCGAGACGGCGTGGTATCGGTCGGTGTTTGCTGCAAGGTCCGTGGAGGTGGTTGGGATTATGGCGTTCTGGAGGTTGGGAGGCGCACTTGTCTGACGATTCAACGGATGGGACATGAACAGGAACCGCGCGCCAGCGGCTGCGGCGTCCGTACCGTCGGCAGTGACTCCCATGCCGCCAGCGACACCCGCACCATGGCCGATGCCCGCGCTCGCGGCCGCGCGCGACCCCTCGACGGCGCCAGTGCCATGGACGGCTTCTGCCCTCTCGATCTTGCGTGCCGTGTCGACGACGCCCGTCGCTGCTGCGGTACCTGTCCCCGCCGCCACTGCCACCGCGGACCCGCCCATTCTCATGCCGGCCCCCGTGCCACCGCCCGTGCCGCACGGATCCCCGTTTGCGACACCCGAACCGGCGACGGCGCTAATGGGCCCGCCACGCACCCCGCTGCGCGATCGCGACCGGCCCCAGAATCGGGATCACGGCCGTGACGGTGCTGTCCGTGACCAAGATTCCGGCTTGAACCAGGGGCGGGAGCGCGAGCGCGAGCGGGACCGCCGCCGTGGCCCCCGCGGCGATCGCCGCTGGGCCGGCAGCAGCAGCAACAGCAGCAGCGATCGGGACCAACAGCATTGGAGCGATCGCGCCGACCGCGACCGCGAAAAGGAGAGGAGCAAGGACGTGGTTAAGGGAAGGCAGCGATCGTCGTCATGCAAGACGAATGACCGGCGCCGGCCCTCCCGGCGCAGTCGCCGCCGCACGCGCAGCTCGAGCCGCGACCACGCATCCAACCGTCGCGCGCGGAAACGGACCAGGTCGCGCAGCCGCGATCGCGGCCGTAGCGACCGCCGCGGCCATCGACGCTCCCGCTCACCCAGTACGTCGCGCCCAAAGCGCGCGCGCACGACGGCGCCACCGGCCGCGGCCGACGCGCCGGACTTGGTCCCGTTTATTGGGAAACTCGGGAACGGGAACGCGCGCATGCTCTTGGCCAACACGATGTGGGCGCGACGACTGGATATCGCGCTCATGGCGACGGGAGTCATGGAGAAGGCGGTCTTTGGATGTGGATCGCGGTGTCGTGCGGTTTTGGATGAAGCGCACGCCGACATACGTGTGTGGAACTGGAACGGTGGACACGGGGAGTAGTGGTGAACATGACCCACGACCGCGAATCTATAGCATCGTCAACGACGTGATGCGCGAGTCGGGCGTGATTTTCCAGGGTGTTTGGATCGAAGTACGTTTCTTTTGATCCCTGAAGTCGAGGTGCATGGTTCTGACATTGACCTCCCGCCGCTTCCAGTTTGAGCCCGCCGACACCCATGAGCCCCCACCGACACGCCCACCACCACGATACGTCTACCTGGTCCTGAACGTGCCGCAGTCGATTGGCGCCTTCAACCGCCACCTGCGCGACCGGCACCTGCACGGGGCGCAGGCCGATTTCCCGTCCATATGGACGATGCCCGACCTCGGCCTCCCCTAATCGCTCTTGACCGTGCCGAGGGCGTGTGTGGCCGAGGCCGAAAAGATGGATCGGGCGTGGATCGAGGGGGCTCAACTGCGAGTGCGTGGTGGTTGGGTTCCTGATGTTGGTGGTGCGTGAGGACTGACACTGAGAGGTCTCGACGTTTCGGTTGGACGATGCAGCGCGTTGGTGGCGGATAAAGCGCGGCTCGTGGCGACGGTGCGGGAACTGGTGGACAAGGTTGTGGCGGAGGGAAGGAGGAGCGGATAGGACGCGGGGGGACGCAGATCTATTGTAAGAAGCAACGATGTGTCTGTGTGAAGTCACTCTCTTGACTTTGGTACTTGTTGCACGTTGGTGTCCGTTACCGTCGATTTTCGTCACGGGGTACAATCAAGTATGTGACCGACCTCCCTCTAAAGATACCATAACCCAACACTGCAGGCTACCTCAAAAATTTCTGGTCCCATAGTGTAGAGACGAAGTTTTTTCGCAAACTCCTTGTGCCGCGGAACGACAAGATTGCCGCTAGGAGACACAAATATGCGAAACGAGAGTTGCAACAGGTCACGCAACCGAGGGCGGTGGTGGTGGCTTGCTGAGGGAGGTCCCATAGTGGGGTGGTTTAGCACTCTGGATGTAGGATTTAGCATTCTGAGTTCGAATCTCAGTGGGACTGGTGAATCTGTGAAAATCCCCAATGCCTCGATCTGTCTCGTGGAGGGGGATGTGGTGGAAAGCGTTCGTTTTTCAATAATGCGCTTTAATGGTCTTGTCCACGCGTTGTCCGCGCCGTCCCATTTTGAGCCTTTCCAGTCTCGCGTTCTAGTTTTAAAATACAGCTTGGATTATTGGTTCTTGTGGGTGCATAAAATCCGTTCTCTCACAATGACGGCGTAGAGGCCGCTCCAAATTGTTGTGCTTGAAGCCGGTGATATATCGCGCTGGGATTCTGCAGCGTAGTGGCGCGTGGTGACGGCCTGTCGGCGGTCGCCCTGGGATGGGCCCGTTCTGGGCGACCTGGTGCAGCTTCTTGTGTGCGGCAGAAAAAATTTGGACGTTTGCGAAAAGGCTGGCATTTTTGCGCGCAACAAACGCGCCAACGAACGTGCAAACCAACCAGCCAACAAACGACCGATTTGGCAACCAATTGCGACGGCCAGCTCTCGTTTTTGTTTCTCTTGTCGCGGGTATGCATCATCACGTAGAGGGGCGGAAACGGCCCTGCATTTTCGGGGTGGCAAGCGAGAGACGCGCGCCAGCTGTCTCGCGCGGCCTGACTGGACGTGAGCAGCATGCCGTCTGCTCACGATGATCGCCAGAACTGAGCAGAACTGAGCGGAGTCGGCCAACCATCGCTGCCAACTTGCAGCAACTGCTGCTGCTCATGCCCAACGTCGTCAGAAACTATCATGGAGGCATGGAACTACAATCTGCACGTACCGCCGCCAGCGCCGCCTATCCTTGCGCCAACGTGGCCGCGCTTGCTGGGTAGCGATCCTGCAGTGGCAGCCACAACACTCGAGCTTTGGGGACCCGAAACAGAGCTCGCTCGGACAACATTGCCCTTGCACCGCCAGCGCGCAAGCACGTCCGGCGCAGGGTGGACAACGATTGCTGATACTGCGACATCATCATCATCAACTCGCAATGGCGGTGGCGGCACGCCCAGCGCTTTTGCCGCCGTGCACCCACAGCCGGGATCAGAGGCGTCCGTACCACCGGCGGCGCACGCTCCTTGGCTTACGGCTGGTCCTTTGCCGGTCATGGACGCATCGATGCAGCACTTTCCCGCCGCGACGGAGCAGGAAGAGGTGTCGTGAAAAATGGACTTCAGTTTGGCAAAGGCAAGCGCTGACCGGCACGCGCGCAACCGTGTAGTTCACGGTTCTGTTTGCGATCCGGACATCAACACGGTCCACTTCCAACCCGCCCGCTGTGCGCATCTGCGAGCCTCTCGCCCTGGTGCCGCACGATCCGGTCGGCACGTCGCTGCTGCACACGCTCGTCGCGGCACCACTCGCGCCACCCAACATGGCGCTTGTGCGCAACCTGCTCCAAGTCTCGGCGCACTTGGGCGATCTTGTTCGCGCGTCTGGCGCCACGCCCGTGGCTGTGCCGGGCGGGACGCAATGGCACCGGGATCTGCTGTCTGGGTACGCCCTGTATTCCATTCCCGCTCACCGATGCCTTGAAATTGACGCGGATGGATCCTACAGCGGTCACCCACCGTCGACTCAAGCACTGACCGCAACCACGGCGACGGCCGCGGCACCCTCTTCTCTACCGCGGCAAACGGCGCTTGCAACCACGACTCCGTGGACGGAACGCGCATCCGCGGCGGCTCCTGCACTCGCGGCCGAATCTCCGCCCAAGCCGCAGCCCAAGAATCGCGACCAAGATCGGCGCCGCAGCAATGACGATGGCCTTGGCGCTGGCACGGTTCGCTCGCGCACTCTACGGCACGGCCGAAACCGCAGTGTGACCCGTGTTGAACGCACGCGCTCCCGAAGCCGCAGTGGCAGAAGAACCCGCCACGACCACTCACGCAACCACGACCGCACTCGCGCCCGCCGCACGAAAGACCGGTCGCGCAGCCGGGACCGTCACGCGCGCTACACAACGCGGTCCCGGTCCCGCGCGCGTGAACGGGACCGGTCACGCAGCACAAGCCGGCGCGCGCCAAGTCGATCTCGCAGCGCGAGCCGCCGTCGTCCTTCATGCACGTCGACGGGCGATATCAACGCGATTGGGCCACATCTGTCTCGCGCGTACGATCCGCCGCTCATCCCGTTTGTCACGCGCCTTGTCGGCGGGACCACGAACCGCGTGCAGACAATCTTCACGTGGCGGGAGCGGCTCGGCGAGGCGTTCCGCCATCTTGGTGGGCCGCAGTACGTGGAGCTTGACGAGGCGCGCAATTGTGTGTGGTTCTCGATGCCGCGCATGCTGCAGTACGTTGGCGATTTTGTGCGCTCTGGAAGGGCCGGTTCTGACAAGCGCGCGTCGTCATGTAGCATGGTCCGGAACGTGATGCGCGAGTCGGGCATGACGATTGCTGGTGTGCGGTTCGAGGTGCGTCAACCAACTAATGTCGATAGCACTGCTCTCGACACCAATTCACCGTGCTTCTCCACCCATAGTTTGAGCCCACCGACACACGCGACGCGATCCCAGTGCACGACCGCCCGCGTCCGCGCGCTGTGGCCGTGATCTTCCACCTCCCGCCGCGCATCAAGGACTTGCTCAAGGTCCTGCATCTGATGCGGCTGCCGTCGGCCCTGCTTGATGGCAAGCATCTCCCGCACATTCGTGGGTTTGCCAACATGAGGTACATATGTGTTTTGGACCGTGGACCGTGGACCGTGGACCGTGGACCGAGGCTGCATTGCGCGCTGCTCATAATCGTTGTAGGTATGGGCTGTTGACAGCCCCGGACATCCACGCCGATTGCATTGACAAGCTCGACAGGACATGGGTCGCAGACCAGCAGTTGCGCGTACGTTGCTCATTTCGATCCGCTGGTGCGCCAATCTTATTTTTTTTTTGGCTCACTGCGTTTGCGACTTGCACGGTAGGTGCTCTGGCTCAAGGACGCTGAGACGGTCTTTGCCGCGCCTGGCCGACTCATGGACCAGCTACACGTCATGGCCAAGGCCGTCGTGGCCGACAAGGGTGGGTTCGAGAATCCTTGCCACTGAGGGGACATGGTTGTAATATGTATCAATACCAGCCGAATGAGGCATGTGCACTGACCGGTTTGGACCGGGTTTTAGGAAGAACTCAGCCGGACCGCGACGGGGGCGGCCCGGACCTTTCTATACGGAGCGACAAGACAAGAGCTAGACCAACCAAAACACCATCGAAGTGGAGCGAGCCCGCGCGAGCGTGGACGTGCCCGCTCGCTCGCCGTCGCGCTCACACGCGCTCCGTCGAGGATGTGGAGGTACGACGACGGTTGCGACACGTCGACGGTTGCGACGTGTCGGAGCACGATCTTGGATGGAGATGCGGGCGCTAATGTATCCTGCAATGACTCCCTGCCCTTCACGGCACACAGCATCGTAGCAACCCGCAAATTATCACAAGGTCATTGCGACTGGCAGCACAACCTTGCCAACAACTACTCGCACTCCCGCACGCCAACTTGACAGTTTGCCAGCATGAACCGGCTCTGGCTCGACCCGCACCGCCCACCTGCGCTCGTCGAAGCGCCCCCGGCGCTTGTCGAAGCACCACAACCGCTCCAGACGCAGCCACCATTCAGTAAAGATGACAACTTATTCCCATGGACCGCCGAGCCCATTTTTCCGGTCGGGCTCGCGCACACGCTCATGGGACCGCTGCTAGCGGTTCCGCCAAGTGCAGCAATCCACTATGACGATGATGAGGTGTGCCGAAATGAATCAAACACGCCAATCGCAACGGATCGCTAACAGTTCCGTCCGCTTAATGGCCCAAGATTGTGATTCTATTTGCGCTACGCGCACCGACGTCAGTGACCAGCGCTGATTCTGCCACCTACAAGGTGCAAGTATGCGAGCCCGTCGTTCTGTCTGACCCGGGCGACCCGTCCACGGGTCGCTCGCTTGTCTCGGCGCTTGTGGGTGAATCAAATGCGGAACCGCCGCTCTCGACGCCAACGCGCACGCTTCTCCAAGATTTACTCGGTGTCGCGCCGTACCTGGCCGACCTGGTGCGCGCGTCTGGCGCGGCGCCGACATTTGTTCCGTGCGATTCGCTGTGGCACCTCAAGATACCCGTCAACGCGTACGAATCGAGCTCTGGCCGATGCAAGCAGCGGCCGCAGGCTGATGCTCATTTTTCCAACACCTAGCGCGAACCAGAATGGTGTTGCAACGGCACCAGATTCCGGCCTGACCCAGACAAGTCCTGCACCCCGTGGGCGTGGCCGCCCGCTGTTTCGCGCCGACGCCGACCTCGACACCAACGACTCGTGGCGCAGCCCGAGCCCGCCGATCGTATATCGCTCCCGCCCGAGCTCACGGAGCTCGAGCCCCAGCCCGCCGCGCTGGACGAGCGTGCGACATTCATGGAGGACCCGCCGCCCGCGCAGTCGCACGCGCAGCTCGACGCGCTGCGACCGGTGGTCGTGGAACGCAGCGCGTCACGATGAACCGCCACCCACGGTCCCGGCTGGCGCCCCTGAACCGATCCCGTTTGTCGCGTACCTGGTCGGCGGTCCGGCGACTCGTGTCGGGGCTGTGGGCACGTGGCGCAACCGGCTCAACCGCGCGTTTGACCGGGTTGGGACGCCGCAGCAGGTCAAGCTCGATAAGGGGGGCCAATGCGTGCGGTTTTGGATGCCGCGGGTGCCGGGGTACGCGCGTTTCTTGCACCTGCGGATGCGGGATGGGAAGCGCTGACCGATGCGCGAATCCACGTTGTGTAGGATGGTCCGCGATGTGATGCGCGAGTCGGGCATGACAATTGCCGGCGTGCGGCTCGAGGTGCGTCCGGACTGGCTGATGCGCTGCTCTAGTGCTTTCGCTCATCTCACCTCGTGCCCGACGCATAGTTCCATCCCGCCGATCCGCGCGACATGATCCCACCACGCGACCGCCCGCGGCCGCGCGCCGTGTTTGTGCTCTTCCGTCCCCCGCCGAACCTCGAGGACATGTTCGAGGTCATGCGGTCCATGTGCCTCAAGTCGGCCGT